GTCAGAAGAGCTGCCTGGGCATTAGGTGACGCACATCTGATTTCCCTTCCTAGTCAGAGAGATACGTCTCCTTCACCACGGCGCAAGGACGAACGGGGCCGAAGCGGCACCTCCGTTCGCACTCCAGCACGGCAGGCAGCCGTGCAGGGGAGCGACACCCAGCAGCACCCGTGAGGCACCAAGCAGGCGGCTTCACGAACGTGGTGAGAAGCAGCACGCACCCAGTGACTCCCACCCAGCGCGAGAATTTGCCGTCTCTAGCCAATGAAATCATTTAATCATATATTTTGTTTTCAAGGGACGGCTAGAATTAATGCACTACAAGGGCCTTTTTTGTTTGCAAATCACTGCCCTCGGAGAGCCAAGCGCTCAGATTGCCTTAATCACCGGGAACCGGTCACTGTCTCAACTTTGCATCCAAGCTGGAGGCGTCTCATTAGACCGCAGGGCAGCAGCACAGCTCAGCAGCAAAGCGCTCCGCTCTGCTCAGCCCTCTCCCGGAGGCTTCCTGCTACGGGAGTATGAGCAACCTGCTTTTCGGAGGCAGAGGGGAATTCTCAGTCCACGAGCACCAAGCTCTCGTCGGAGCCTTTTTCACGGACCGAGGAGCACTGGTCCTGAACTACCCTCCTGCGTCACGGCCAACCCCTCGCAGGGCTGGCGGCGCGGAGGCTTGGAGCACGTGGCGGTTAGCGCACGCGGCATCAGTGCAAACCAGCACTGCCGGCAGAGGGTCTCCGTACACAGGCTCAGCATTAAAACCAGAACCTTCGATGTCTTCTCCCGTTCCGGCAGGCATGTTCCTGCCGGCACACAGAAGGTCTCCGAGGGTTTGCGCAGGGCACTGTAAGCAATTAGTTAACGGATTTGCAGGAAAGCCTTAGCAGCCCATTACAAAGAAAAGAAAGAAAAAGGGGGGAGATTAAAACTGTTATCCTCTTACCAGAGCGCTCCATGGACAGACTGCTGTGTCTGCTCGGGGATTTGGTTACTTCGGGAACATTTACGGCCATACCCAGGCTGGCAGAAGAGATGGTGCTGTCGGATCCCAGGGAGGTGTTGGATTGCGTCAAGGAAGACTTGCGAAGCTTGTTCTTCAGGAAGAAGCCCTTGACTTTGGACTTCTTGCCCCCAACGTCATAGTCATCCTCCATGTCGAGGGCGCCCATGCTGCTAGGGATGATGGCGGAGGCTGACTCCAAGTCGTATTTCTTCTTGCCCTTCACCTTGTCCTTCAGTTTGCCGAAGGGTGACCGTGGCTTGTCCTTCATGGACAGGTCAAACATACTGGCCGTGAGGTTGTTGCGTGTGAACTGGATGCTCACTTGGATCTCGCCACGCTCCTTCTCCTTCTTCCCAGCCTTGGAGTGTAGCTTGTGCCACCTGGAATCGGACAGAAAAGAAAAGAGAAGGCCCCTCTGTTATCTCCAAGGGCCACAAACCAGAAGGACCTGGAGGAGGCTGGTGGGAGCTGGTACGAGCGTGCCTGAAGTCAGCCGGGACCCGCTCCTGCTCCCTTGGCAGACGCCTGCTCAACTCCTGCCACTTCACAGACACAGAGACGCACAAACCCCGTGCGCGGAGGTGGCGTCCGGGGCCAGACCTCTCCCTGAACCGCAACGGCTCCGTAGCGGCTCTGCCTCCAGCCTCGTCCTAACGACATTCCCACTAAATAGCCTGGCGCAGAGCGTTTAACTTTACACTAACGCCAGACATCGCGGTGCGTGGCAAGGGGAGGTTCGCGGCGGCCAAATTTTTATACGATCAGTTGATACGCCGCTGTTATAAGCCCCCGTTTAAAAAAAAAAAAAAAAAAAGACGGCGCTTCGTGCTTGCTTTTTAAATATGTACGAGGCAGTGACTCAGAACAAATCCTTTGGAGCCGGAGCCGGCCCCGAAATGACAGAGGCACCAACGTTCCTCTAAAGAACTTGCTTCCAGGCGCTCCCCACCTAAAGGAAGAGGCTGAAGCCTGCCCCAAAGCGTCCTCACCCACTGGAAAGCCCCTTAAAACGTAACCGAGCTCAGATGGGAACAGACCCTGGCCCGCTCCAGGTACGGCGGACGGCGGTGGTGGCGGCTTGCGGGGCCAGTGTGCTCCTCCCGGCCTCGGCCGCGTCCTGCCCTTCCTGGATCCAACGTTAAAAATCGCCTTACTAAGCCCAAAGGAAACGCTTAGGTCCGTGCAGAAATTTCTAGGCCTGTGAATCGAACGATTTTCCAAAGCTTTGCAAAAAAATAAACAATAAAAAAACCCCATAAAATCTCAGCCACGTTTAACACCCGCTCGTTAGAGCGCGCTGGAAGAGTGAAGTCATCACAAAAAAGGGAAGGAAAATGTGAAGCGATGGAGATGGGCGTAACCGTGCTGAAGTCAACAGGGCGAGGAGAAAACCCAAATCGAGTTCCCCAGCAGTTTTTTACAGTCGTGCTAAGGACGTTACCGGATCCCGGAGGAAAGGAGGAATCGCAGAGCCCAGCCCTTCCCTACCCCCGCCACCGAGCTAAAGGGCACAGAGCCCCGAGTTGCGCAGGGTCCATCCGAGTTGGGTTGAGCCCCTCAACGCCAGCATCAGCCTCGCGGAAAACCGCCCGTTTCAGGCCAGCTCCTCCCGCGCCGCGCGCCGTGGCAGCCACCTCCTCTGCAGAGCATCCCCAGCCCCGCGCGAGCACCCAAGGCCAGCCGTCACCTCTCGGCCCCCAAGAGCGTGGTCGGTTTTCAGCAGAGGAACGGCAATTTTGTTACGCTACGGGCTCCCCGCTAGGACGAGGCTTTTCCCGGGGAGCTTTGCGATGCCAGGAAGCAGCGAGGGAAACAGGAGCAGGTGAGTCAGGCAGACTCTTTCCATCGGAGCACCGGAGGAAACGCTGCTTGGAATAAGCTCCGGCCAAAGCCCATAAAAACATTACGAGCCCATCGCTCGGCGCGAAGCAAGCCCTGGAAAAAGCGCAAGCAGGAAGGGCCGGAGCGGGCTGCCAGCCGGCGAGCAGGGGGACAACGGGTTTGCGGACTGAATCGGTTGACGGCAATGATCTCGCGGTTTGGACATCTTACATCATCCTATGGAAAAAAAAAAAAAAAGAATAAAAAAAGAAAAAAATCCGGATGACTCAACGCAAGGAAAGGCAGCAGCTTCTCGGGACGACGAGGCACAAGAGCCCGTGAAACCCGGGGCCCTGCCGCCACTCCCATCAAGACAAACGGAGCCTCTCCCATCCTGCCGCCCGTTCTGCAAGGCAACGGCGCCGATGCCTTTGCCAGAAGGAGCCTTAAAACCTGATGCGCTTCAAAAAAACTTCCGTCCAAGAAAACCCTCCGCTCGTGCCGGCGACGGATTGGCGAGCTCTTTTTGCTTCCCGAGCCCTAATCGGCAATCAGGCAGGGCGACATGTCAAACAGGGCGCAGCACTGTTTTTAGGCAGAGCTCTGAGTTTAGGGCACAACGTGAGCATTTGGAAGCATTAAACGTGTCCGCACTTCTTCTTTTTGTTTTTTTTTTTCCTCTTTACACCCATTCCAGCGGAAAGAGCGGGCGCGAGCGCTGCCCC